CATGTTTCGGTGTTTGAATTCTATCTGCCTTTTATGTACAAAAGTATTTGTCTTACTTTAAATGCCAAAACTGTAGTAGCTTGAATGATACAGAAAATGAAATAGTGCATAAAGTGGTGAAATATTTAGAGTAGTTGAAAAAAAAATTAAAAATGACTTCAAAAAATTATGTCTTACAATGTTATTAAGAATTTAAGTGAATATAAATCACTTACTGGTGCATACTTGACAGAGATATGAATCAACTGCCTTTGGTATTCACAGATTAAAAATCTAGTGTTTCAGTATGTGTAAAGATTTAAAACTACTCAATAATTAATGGCGGTTGAATTATTATTATGGTTTCCTTTAATTCCTACAGGAACATAGGGCTTCAGCCGTGCGTCTCCATTGCGTTCGGTTCTCTGCTAGAGTCTTCACCTGGCTCCAAGTCTGCCCACACCTTTTCATCTCCTCTTCACATGACCTCCTCCAAGTCACCCTTGCTCTGACGACCAACTCGCCCCTTCTCTTTCGGTTTCCACTCGAGGGCTAGTCTAGTGATGTCACTTGATAGCTTGTTTCCTCAGAGTATGGCCAGTCAATCCATCTCCATTTCTTCCTGCCTATTTGTTTCACAATCGGTTCCTGCTGTGTTGGTTCGCTCATTGCCAGAGATCTCTGTTGCTGATCTTTTCTGGCCGGCCATCTGACCTTCACTATTAAGCGAAGACAACTGTTAATGAAGGTGTGTAGTTTGTTTGAGATGCTCTTTATGACGCGCAGTGCAAGTCTCTGATCCATGCGTATAGTAGCACTGACTGACTTCACATTGGAGTTGAGAATCCGGATCTTATTTTTGATGTTGAGTGCTGTTGACTTCCACACAGACTTGAGAGTAGTGAAAGCTTGCCTTGCTTTCCCAATCCTCACTTCGATATCCTCATCAGTTCCTTGTGCCTGTAGTTGAAACGATGCTTCCCAGGTAGGTAAAGGAAGTTGTTTCTTCCAGGTTCCTTCCATTTATGCTGACTGTTTTCTGTTGTTGTTGTTCTTGTCCAGGAATCTTCATCACCTCTGTTTTCTGTATGTTCACCTGAAGTTGTATCTTTGATGCTTCTTCTGCCAACTTGTTGCTTTTCGCGGTTGAAAGTGAAATACAAATTTAGGTTGTGGCAGTATTTGAACCAGTAACCTCTAAATTATCATTCCAGCAATCTATCAGCTGACCTACATGACTGTGGTTAGATGAACGCCATCTCTATGAGAATTAACAGTGTGATATAAAAAAACACATTAAAGTGGTGCTCAATTTAGTGATACAGGTTTAGTTTGAAACAGGAAATCTTGTGACTTTTTTACAGGACTAATCTTTCGGTAGTATTAGTTTTACCTATACTTTTCTTGACTGTATAAGCTATCCATCCAGTTCTTCAGGGGTTACTCAACTAATATATGGTTGGTTTTTATCTAATATGACCGAGAAATTACTTAAGTCATTAGTTGTCTTGTGTATAGTTCAAGTTTAATTATTCCTTTCATAAGACATTCTGTAAACAAAATTTATCAGCAACCTGTTAATTTCATAAAGACGCATCAGAATGTAAACTTCAACGCTGACGCCTGGTAATAGAAACATACCACTTCTGCTTAACAAAAGTATTATTCGAATAAATTATTTGATTTACAGTCTATTTTTACGTTTATACAACACTTAACCTTCTAAATCCGTTATGGATGAAATTTATTTTTATTTCGATAAAGTCTCACATTTATCAAGATGATATGATTAAGAGCAATACATTGTGCTCGAAACGTCATCAGTGAATATTATTGTATAAAACTGTGAGACTCTATCAAAATAAAAGTAAATTTTATCCATAATGGATTTATACCCTACCACAGTGCCCAAATTCTATCCTTATAGCTTAGCTTTCTAGCCCCAAAAACTCATTTCGTCAGAAAATGCAGATTTTATTTTCTTATAAGGAATGTTTGATGTCACACAAAATCGAAGACTTACAAGCGAAAACCGACAAACTGGTCGAAGAGGCAGCAAAGACAGGACTGCAGGTGAACATAGACAAGACGGAGATTATGAAAATAACCAACCAACAACAACAACAGCAGCAACATCCAGTGCCAATCACCATCAACGGGAGGGGACTTGAAAGAGGTTACTTCATTCACTTATCTAGGGAGCTTTGTCTCAACTACAGGAGGAACGGATGAGGATGTCAAATCGAGAATCGGGAAGGCGAGAAACACATTCATCAACCTGAAACCAATCTGGAAATCTTCGTCACTCAGCATCAACAACAAAATTCGGATTTTAAATACAAACGTCAAGTCAGTTCTTCTACACGTATGGATCAGAAACTTGGCGGGTCACAAGGAATATTTCCAACAGGTTGAAGACCTTTATCATTAACTGTCTTCATTCTTTACTGAAGATCAGATGACCGGAAAGAATCACCAACAAGAAACTATGGGAACAAACAAAACAGGAACCAATCGCTGAACAAATATGCAGGAGAAAGTGGAGATGATCGGATACTCGCTGAGGAGACTGCTGGGTGACATCGCGCGTCAGGCCAGTGCTCGAGTGGAACCCGAAAGGTAAGCGGCGAGTGGGACGTCCATAGGTGACATGTAGGAGATCGTGTGAAGAGGTGTTGAAACAGTATGGACTAACATGGATGCATGTGAAAAGTACAGCAGGAGACAGAAGCAAGTGGAGACGTGCAGTTGAAGCTCTATGTTCCACTAGGAACCCAAGGGAACAATAATAATAATAAGGAATGCAAACATATATATATATTACTAAAGGACTTCAATAAAATATTCCGTCACAATATTGGCTACTCACAACATAAGATTGCGACTATTCACTTCTTCTGGAAGGTGAATGAAGTCACATACAGTAGAAAACCAAAGGCCGAAAGTCTTTTCATATTTTAACTCCTCATTCTCAAAATAACATATGATGAAAACTGCCAATACATAAGTCTTATTATACAAAGAATTGCGGCCAACCAACTTAAGAGACAATAAGAATTTCGACTGACTTCTGAGAAAGTAGTCTGTGAAAACTATACAGACAATTCATTACAATTATGATTTAGTATCACTGCCGTCAAAGTACGCAACCTTGGTTTCTCGTTGATGCAAATGAAGGTCACCAGGCCATTTGGTGCTTCTAGCCTTATATACTGCTGTATTAATGTATTATACTAGCTTTGTTAGCCTAACGATCAGAAAAAATATGATGAAATTCGTGAAAATAAATATCCAGAGATATTTCTGTGTTCTAAACTAACTGATCTTACTCTTCATGTATGACATTCAAGTCACTGTCAAACTTTTAAATATTGATTAATGCAGTAAATACAAAAGTGGAAAGAATCTGTTGATTTGCATCATATTTTCCTTCACATTTTCTAATTGTACTTTGGGAAAAATATCGCAAAACCGTCGTAATATTTTTCTAGTTTGCAATTTCTACTGACAAGTTATTAAATTTGAAAGCAGCTTTCTCTTAAGAATAGTCGAATGAAAGGAAAATTCATTTATTTTTGTCTTCCTAGTCCTTAATAGTGTACAACTGTCGAACCAAACTCATTTCGTCACTTCCGATTTGTGTCCCAGTCGATGGTCTGGTACGTGATGTGACTGAATGGTCTCGTCATCGTGTGTCCGACTTAACTCCATTTTCTTGACAATTTTGCTGGTCAGTAGGTTCTTGTCTGGTTCATTCCTTAGGTTCCTTGTTGTTTATCCTATCTCTTCTACCACCGGATCTTCAGTATGGAGAGAAGACAACTGTTGCTGCAAATCTGCAGCCCGCGAGAAATGCTTTTGGTGACTAACAAGTCATGTCCTTGAAGCATAAAGAAGCACTAACCGACTTGAAATTATTGATGAAAATCCAAATCTTGTTCCATTTGCTGAGTGAAGTAGATCTCCACATATAGATTTCAGAGTAATGAATATCTGTCTCGTTTTTCCAATCCTGACTGGCTTTGACATCCTCACCCTTGCCACATGGCTGCAGTTGGAACGATGCTGTCAAGAAGAGTGAAAGAGGTGACTTCCTTTATATCTCTCTCTCGCTTATCCTGTTCGGTGCTTGTTGTTGGTGGTGACTGGGTGCCTTCATCACCTCTATCTTCCCGATGTTAACTAGAAGCTCTGTCTTTGCTGCTTTTTTGCCAGCTTTTTGAATTTTGCCTGTAGATCTTCGAGTTTGTGTGTGTGTCAGTCATCCGCGATGTCTACATCTTGTAGTGTTTTCTCATCGGTCTAGTGCATGCTCATCCTATCGCTCTCAGAAGTCTACCACATGATCCAGTCCACCACAGCTAGGAATATAATTAGTGATAGTAGACAGTCTTGCCTTACTCCTGTCTTTACTTCAAGAGATTCGATAAATTTTCCGGTGTGGATCACTTGACATATGGAATTTTCACATAGCTGCTAAATATAGTTGATAAAGGTTTGGGGCACTGTGTGGTGTTGAAGTAGTTCCCGAATCACTTCGCGTTCAATGCCGTTGAAAGCCTTTTCAAAGTGGATGAACTTGAGATAGAGATTTGACTGTCATTCTATTTTCTGTCTGATGATGGTGATGATAATGATGCATAGCATTGCAATTTGATCCGCACATAGTTTGCTTTTAATGATTCTAGTTTGCGTCACAGTTAGGTGAATCCACCAACGACACACTTTTGTTCTAACCGGATGAAATGGTTTTGCAGATAAATCATGAATGTGAGTCATATTACAGCTTAAGTATAAGCAGTTCAAATCCATTTCTTAATACATTTTAGTGTTGATAAAACTTACCATATACTATTCTTTCAGTGCACTCTTTAGTTATTTCAGAATGACAACAGGATGTACGTTTATAAACTGTTCTGATAACGAAAAAAGATTCTCAGAAAGCTACTTTAAAAATTTATTTCCTTATTTTGTTAAATTCACAAATTTTTCTTTTTAAACATTTTTGTTCTACCTTATAGACTAGAATGGCCTTGGAATATGACTGCTGGATCTGCCGAAAATACAATCCATTTGTTGTTATAATTTTATTGACAGAAATCTACATACATTTTTGCAAATATTACTGTAATTATCCAAATTTACATATCACCTTTTTAACTGGTGTCAATGGACAATTAAATCTTTGGGTAGATCGTCAGCTAGTAATACAAATTATTGAATCAATGCCACATAATCAAAATATTCCGGGTAGACTACGTTGTCCAAGAAGATTACCAGAAATTCACAGACATAGTAAGTTATTCTTTGCAAAACTAAAAGCTACTGATGAATAGAAATCCAATATTTGGAGCTGGAAAGTCTGATTACTTTCAACCCAGATATTATTGTCAATTGACATTGATTAAAGGATCATTGAAAACCAAGAAGCACTGAAAGATTGTTCTGTCCAGTTTGAAACTATTCAGCAGTGCACATCAGTGACTTCACCATGACTTTCAGGTTTTATCCCGGTTTCCCTTCGTAACTTGTATACTTTTGTGGTAAAGCATCTAAATTTGTCACTGAATGATGGTAAATTTTCACAAACGACGAGACAATTCTGTACCAAAATTACATATACATTTTAGTGTAACTGTCAACAAACAATAAATGCATCATTATGGCGACTGACTCTTATTGATTTACACCCTATGTAGTTTATCAGTCGGTCACGACTCACTTTAGTAATTATGTTGCACAGATGGAGCACCAATTAGTTCATACTATCTAGTACTCAGTATGCAGAAAAGTATTCATTTTATCAATGGAAATAAATTAATCGCATGAGTTGTAATACACCTTAAAATAACACACAGTGTTAGTTGTATGTCTAATATTTCGATGATGCATGTGAGAATAAGAATATTTGAAATCCTCATACTTTCACTCAGGACATCCTACTTTTCATAGTATTTCTCAGAATTTCGTATACTTCCCTATATACAACACTTTGGAACTTCAATTTTGTATCTGTGTATTCGTAAAGTCCTTTATTCCAGTTACTTTTGCTAACCTCCTTTGAGGATCAAACAGAATCTCCAGAAAACCTAATCAATCATCACTTAATTGGTCTAATTCTCTGTCTATAAGAAGAAAATTAAGTTTAGTCAAAATTTGTGCTTTAGATACCCACCATTGTCAAAAATGAAATCCCAGTTATGATGCTCACCGTTTGAATGAGAACATAAATTATGTTTGTTAGATTTCCGAACAATATCCTGTGTGGTAAGGGAGAAACAAAGTCCATTCATAGTTCTATACCATCCCATCTCGTAGGTGCAGAACACAGAATTGATGTAATCCTAATTTTTACCTGAAGAGTTTGTCTATTACATATTGCTGAGGCTGGCTGTTGGAATCTACATTAAGAAGCCTAATCTATGTATCCAGAAAAAATTGGTTTAGATGCTTTCTTTACCTTGGCCATGAAGGTTTAAATGATCCTTTATTTGTTGTAGAAATTTCTTAAATTTTATTTGACATTCTATTTACTATTAAATTTTTATGCTTATTATAACTTGTGCATCTTTCTTGAATTGTATTTCCATTGATATCAACAAATCGACAGCATTTAAAAACACCAATATTGTTAATGAGGACTACTCTAGAATATTCTGTTTTTATAAATATATGTATAAATGTAGAGCTGGAAGAGAAAATTATCGAAAAGAATATTCTTTGCTCAAATTTTCTTATGTCTACTAGGTGTCTGAATGAGAATTTTCGCTATATAAAAATCTTGTTTCTGCTAATTTTTAAAAATTCACAATACGTATATGGCAAACGAATGCCACTAGGTTACTAGGGTTTTAGTCAAGTTTAAAAACATAAATTTCACAATGAACACATAAAACTCCAATGTGCCACTGCTTTGTTCCCTTTTTTACGCAGAAAGAACACTTTGACTCTATAAATAACCTAAGTAGTATAATAATATGCAAGCATTAATCAACTCTTCATTTTTATTTTTACAGTTCCAGAACATTTGTTTCTCGTTTTCAATGGATTACTTTTACACGAAGCATTGGATCGTATTTCATTATCTGCTCATAGACCTATCCCTCCTCGTATTGATATGTTACGTGTCAAATGGAGAGCAGGCTTTGAACGTGTGAGTATCCTATGTTATACGTAATATAATATTTAGCTAATATTAGCAATCACACAAGGAATGTGGCATTTATTATACAGAAATATATATTATATGTACATTTTAAAAAATATGATTTAATTTAAGAATCGATCCACTATGGAAACCATTCGAACTGTTCCAGTTAACGGAGGGTTCTCAACTTAATAATTCATATTTCAATCCATAAGCAAAATTAAGACATTTTGTGTAGATGATACTTTACTCGATTCGTTATCAGTAGGTTGTGTAACTTAAATGTGATATGTTTATCCTTCTTAACTCAATTTTCTATCAGAGTTATATTTCTTACTATCCAATAGTTGTCGAATGTTAAGCGGAAGAGTTTTACTCAGATTGTTACCCGCATATTGATAAGTGCATATACTTATTGGAATCAGTCCCAGAGTACGTGTCACCAGGACGTCAAATAAACTTATCTCTGTCAAATCAATCCAAATGTCGTCTGTTTAAATATCTATAAAGTTTGTAGAAACAAAAGACAAACTTAACATCTCTAATCACAAATATGAGGAATAAAAGTTTAAAACATTTCAATATGTCAAATACCCCCATTTAGACGTTTAAAAGACAAAAATAGTGAGCTCACTGACAGTCACTGGATATATTTCCTGAAGCTGCATTGGGGCCCGCCATCTCATGGTGAAGTGGATGCACATCAAAGGCATTGGCATTGGATGTTCCCCAAGCTTGGCCTAGAAACCTAAACATCCCAGGTTCGACCCCTGGATCGTTTGTGGATACTCACTACTGGAGAGTCCCGAAAATAGGATTAAACAGCTTTCCAGTACTCATTGGTTTCCAGTCATCTCTCTAACTGATGTTAGTTCGTGACAAAAATCTCACAAATGAAAATAAATACTGACTCTTCTGTTAGATACCCATCTATGGTTCTCCTCTAATCTGTCTGTATCACTTTTAATACAATTCAAAAAACATTTATCAATCCAGTGGCGATCAGTTTGTTGACAATAATTATTCAAAATCAATACGTCAAGAGGGATAATAATTAACCAAGAAAATTAAGGCAACAACTAAAGGGGAGAAGTAACTTGAGAAATTAAAAACTCGGTTACGTATCTCACAATTTTCCACAAATGAGGAGTAATTAGGAAATAAATCACTGTTCAAATTAATTGCGTAATAAACAATTAAAAATGAAATAGTTAAGATAATAAAACTAATATTATTATCGTTTCCTTTAATTCCTAGAGGAACATAGGGCTTCAGCCGTGCGTCTCCATTGCGTTCGGTTCTCTGCTAGAGTCCTCGCCTGGCTCCATGTCTGCCCACACGTTTTCATCTCCTCCTTACATGACCTCCTCCAAGTCACCCTTGCACTGACGACCAACTCGCCGCTTCCCTTTCGGGTTCCACTCGAGCAATGGCTTGTCTAGTGATGTCACTTGATGGTTTCCTCAGAGTATGGCCAGTCAATCCACCTCCATTTCTTCCTGCTTATTTGTTTCACAATCGGTTCCTGCTGTGTTGGTTCGCTCATTGCCAGAGATCCCTCCCTGTTGCTGATCTTTTCTGGTCAGCCATCTGATCTTGAGTATTGAGCGAAGACAACTGTTGGTGGGAAGGTCTGTAGTTTGTTTGAGATGCTCTTTATGACGCGCAGTGCAAGTCTCTGATCCGTATAGTAGCACTGACTTCACATTGGAGTTGAAAATCCGGATCTTATTTTTGATGCTGAGTGCTGTTGACCTCCACACAGACTTGAGAGTAATGAAAGCTTGTCTTGCTTTTCCGATTCTTGCTTTGATATCCTCGTCAGTTCCGCTGGCCTGTAGCTGAAACGATGCTTCCCAGGTTCTTTCCAATAAAACAATTAGGAGAGTGATAATCTGTAAAAGGCTTCGGGAGAATAAGAAGTTGTCAGTTTTCTTGCTTTCATGTAATGATAGTCAAAGTTAGGAAAGCAGCTGTACGATTTGCTTCTGAACACACAGATCTGACTTCTTCGGGTGAATTTCTATGATCTCAGATGTATGTAGAAGACGAACTCGTAAAACAAAATTATTATTATTAGTCGAGATGTAATAAATAACTTTCAATGATTTATAAACATCAACTTTGTGCTCGCTATGTACAAGGTGTGTTAAAACAGAGCTACGAATAGATCTTGTTTGTTCATTGATTAATGATGCGTGATGGTGTCTGGAAATCCAATTACAGATATGCTTAGTTGTACTTGCAACACAACTGACCCTACAGGATTAGTCGAATATATGAACGTCTAACAAGCTTGTGGAATATTTGGAAACAACACTTGGTCAGAGTTATATATTAATTAAGTCAAAAAATGCTTACAAATGCAAGCAGATAAGATTTATTAATGTTTGATGGATTGTCGAATACCAAAAAGACAAAAACTAATAATTGTTCATGAGTTTTTATTCATATACAAGACGAAATCATAAAAATATTGAAATTCTAGTTTGTTTTATTTACCGTAAGAGTGAGGTGATCAGTTGGAAAATTTGAGTAACACACTCTCTCATAGTTTATTCCCTTTATTTTGGACAGTGATATGGCGTAGTCTGAATACTCCTGGTTTGAGTGAGCAACACTCAGATACAAGTAAAAATGAGGAATTTCTAATGGAGTATACCTCAATAAGCAGTATAAAATCATGAAAATGCAGTTTTATACGTTGAACTCCGAAGGCTGAAACCTAGATATGAATATGAAGCAACATTTACTTTCACTGAATAACAAGAACTGTGAAGCCATTCAATCTAATACGTCATATAAATTTAACCGATTCATAATTTAATGTCAATTATATATATATATATATATATATGTATATATATATATATATATATATATATATATATATATATGATAGGAACCCACACACTTTGTTATTGTTCAATTATCTTAACGACTGTTAATCTCGCATAAGTGGTATATCATCAATTCTCACGCACTTTGTTATTGACTATTACGACCGATTATTTCAAATACTGTTAGCTGTCTGTATTGGTTGTAAAAATGTATAAATACCATTTCCTAAATAATTTTCTTTGTCGTAGTTTGTCGTAGTTTTTGTACTACAATACACAGTCACAGACCAGACTTTGTTTTTTGATATTTGCGTGGTTCGCTGAATCGGAAGATATCAGAAGCAGATAGGCATATTAGTCAGGCGCAGACAGAACAAGGCGACAACGTCCTCATTTAATTCCGCTACAGTTATAACAATATATATATATATACTGTGGCGTGTGATACTTATAGAATTTGTCAGTATTATGTAAAGAGACGTCCATTGACAAAAAACATCAAATAGAAGGGAAACAGATTTCACTTTAGAGAAAGCAAATGATACGGCGTTGCGGAGATACATGGGATACGTGAAAGGAACACAAAGAAACACAATATGAAAGCCAGAAGTAGCACAACACGGAAGATCTGTACAAATGGTGATTTGAAAATAAGGTGTACATAATTTAGCTATATAGAGATACCAAATTGCAAATAAACATTCCTTTACCAAATCTCTCGTCTTATACTAATACACTGCTACTTTTGTCACTGCGGGAACATAGAAACACTACAATAGGCGTCGTTTCTAGGGTAAATTATAAAACCACTGCATGATTTTGCTATCGAAATACAAAGAGACGTGAGATTTCAAGGCTACAGATCGCATTACTTTACACTGAAAACAAAATGTTTAGGAAAAGCAAGTCCTAATGAACAAAACATTAGAAACACTGGAAGTTTATCTGTCCTCCACATTTAAATTTTTTTGATTTCTGTATTTTAAGCATTCTAATTTATTTTCTAGTTAACCTACAATATCGATTTGAAGTCAATGAATCAAACACTTCTGCATACACCACTCTTAAATATTGCGAAATCTGGTTATATTCCAGCTACACAATCTGGTAAGATATTCGAATTTTTAAGCCAATGAAGTTACCTATTTTCTTTTTATTATGTTTGAAGAATATTCAGTTTGTAATAAGTGTCTTCACTTATTTTTATTTTCAGTTGAAACTTTAACATGTATGTATTTACGTTTTGATTTCATTCGCTGAATTCGTTAATGCCTGCATCGTTTATACAAAGTTGTAAGACGCCATTATTAATAATTCCACGGTTTCCTATTGAAACACAGAGCTGAAGCAGCACGTCTCCATTTCATCCAATTCTCTGAAGTTTTTTATAGCTGGCTCAATGATATGTGCATCGGTAGCACAGCGATAGAATGCTCGCCGATCACGCATGTGTTCAGGGGTTCGATTCCCAGTCGACGCGCTCCTTTACGTCGCTAAGCCAGCAAAAAGACTGGTAAACAGGGAAGGTTGGGCATCAGGTTAGCAACTTCATCCCGTAAAAAATAAACGCCACTGCTACCGGAACTTCAAGCCCCTAGCCTGAAGTCCTATGTTCCACTGGGAACGTAAAGGAATTTTTTAAAAAGTGATATCCCATGATGTCTCATCTTTCGCTAACACAATCTTTTCCATGTCATCCTCGACCCAAGCCCAAATCGTCGTTTCCCATTCCGATACTACTTGAGGGTATGCCTGGCACGTGGTATCACTCAACGATCTCCAATCCATCTTCATCTCCTTCTGTATATTTTCGGGGCAACAGGTTCTTGATTACTTCGTCCCCAGAGTTCCTGTTTGCTTATGCTATCTGACCCACCATCTGAACTTCATTATGAAGCGAAGGTAACTGTTGATGAAAGTCTTCAGCTTCCTGTTCAAAATGCTTTTCAGTGCCTCTCTAAGTCTGTAAAGTATTTAGAAGGACTGACTTGACATTAGCAATAGCACCATATTGCTCATTGTGCTCGTTTCACTCAGCTAAGCGTCCAGTTTTTCAGGCACTTGATTGGTACATTTTAATCACAACAGCTATGACTTTTCGTACCACCAATTTTGAGACTAAGTCTCTCTACCGTATTTTTTGACGAACCTTTCAGGGAGACGATTGTCTTTAATGAGCTTCTCTAGTTCTTCATTGAAAATGTCGTCGAAACATGTTCATTTAGTTTTATTTGATATATAGATTACGGAATATTTCTGCTAATACTGTTGATCAACACTACGTAAATGAATTCTTCGTCTATTCTGTACTCATTGCTTATGAATTTGGAGTATAAACGAAATTTAGTTTCAGATATACTCACAGAGTGCTATCTAAGACTATCAAGAACTAGTTTCCCAATGAATATATTTACAAACTATCTTGCAATTAAAAGTACCCCGCTCTCAACTAGGAAGGTTAAAGTTCCTAACTAGTCCAAATTTATATATATATATATATATATTCACTTGTTATTTAAAAGGAAGTTACCTTCAAAATATTATGAAAAGCTTGTAGGTGCACATGTACACTTGCTAATATGGTTGATAAAAGGCGAAATTAAATACTCACTAGCTGCATTCAGGTAAATTTCATGAAAACAAGTCATTCATTTGACTCTGACGTATATTCTTCCTCCTCCTTCTTAAGTCCAAGGTGCACTTCGTCATGACTTTCATCTTCAGTTTCTTTACGCCATACAATCCGTTGTAATAAGAGTCAAAGTTTTTTATGCACTCACTGTTCCTTGGTCTTGTAATAATTCTCACATATTATTACAAAGCTATTAAAAGGCTTATCGACGTAACTTTTGTTTTTACTACTTTTTAGACGTTCAGATATCTTTACCATGCACTGGAAGATTTACTGGCATAGCTCCCTTCCAAGTAAGACTTGATGTTCAAAGAGAATTTGAAGGTTTACGAAAGATTCCGCCGATTTCTTTCATTGTCTATAAATATTGTCTGAGTGCAAGTAAGTTTAGATAGCATTAAAATTAGTATTCGTTAACATATTACTTCGCTTGTTTGTAATGCCCATTCTTTTTTAAAAGAATACTTACAGAACTTATCAGCTTACAGAGTTTCAACTCATTGAGTAGATTATAATAATATTCAAATAAGATTTCAAAATAAAGTTGAACTTATTCACAGAAGTGAAAAATGTGGTAAGAAAAAATCCACAACAACAGACTAAGCCATCTCATACAACATTCAATATGTGAACTAACACTTTTGGGTGGTAAAACCGTAGCTGCTAAGCTGCTCTAGTCTCAGTGGTAAATCCACCACACTTTGAAGATGCGGGTAAATCCAGTTGACAGACGTCTTCGATCTCAGTGCTAATCACCACCATTCAGATAATATAAACTAAGTTCACACTTAAATGGTATGACTGTCTAAATTTTAGTGTATATTGTATTTATGGCAAGTGTCTGGACTGTGAAATGAACCAGTTCAATATATCATTTTGCTTGAAACATGACTAAGATTCGAAATACATCATTGTATGTATTGCAAACTGTTTCATTGAAATCTTCTTTTAGAATTAAAATTTAGAGGGGAAAACAATGTTATTCCTCTAACAGATACCTTAATAAGTGTGCTAGGAGTTAAATACTTGCAGTTAGTGTTTAAAGTCATCTTGATCGATGGTTACTAGCACTGGATTCTAGGATGCGCGTTGTATCTTACTTTAGGCAAATCAGCTGAATGTACCTGCATCCCCGTTGAGTGGTACTGTTCCCACTGCAACATGTACCCAGTGCGCATCGTCTTAAAGGTTACAGCAGTATCACTTGGGCTACTGACCTGTGAGAGTCATCTGTTGTGCAATGGGTATTAGTTGTTAAATTTCTTTAAATTATTATTTAAAATTCCCCTTTGATCGGTTTTCAATGAATTAAAATGTTTCCGTTGACATTAATATTGACTGAATATTTTAATCCAATGAAAGTTTATCAAAGGGAAATTCAAGGTAATAACTTCAACATAGTGACGACTATTTCTGAACCTCCTGTTCTTTTTTGGAAATATTCATATTTTAACCTTTAATTTCATCAAATATCGTTCAAAGTCATCTGTAGATATCGTATGCTTATAAACAGAAAAGAAATTGAATTATCCATCACTTGCCACGATTATAATTTGAACTTAGTCCAATTTTTCTTACAAATATCACCGTAACTCTCATTTTGGTTAGCCCGAATAGAGTAGCTATAAGACTTAGTCTCGGTAAAACATATGCTGTTACGATTACACTGCAATAAAAGTAATACTCCATTTTATTGGCAGCTACATAATATCCATGATTATTATTTTGTTTTGAATGCTTTCCGAAATCTGTATGCTAGAAAGGCAATTTGTTTCAAAAGCCTGAGGATTCAGACTATTGATATGATCTGGTTGTTTGTTTGCACCTGTTCTCAAGCCACATTTACAAATTTGAAGTCACTTATTTTTGTTAAAAATTTCCGAAATTGTAAACAGTTACTTATTTAGATAGTGAGTAATGTTAATCTAATTAGTTGTAAATGTTGGGTGAAATATGTCAGTGGTCAGTTACGAAATATGACTTGAAAATATACTATTAAGAAATGAGACATAGCGTTTATGACTTTTAGTCTGAACACAATGAATGACTGAATTCTCTGAGTATCAGCAACATTCAACCAACTTAGATCATGTTTTCGTGAGAGCTGGCTGCAAGACAAAATTGTAGACAACAATTTAAGTCAATGCTCACGTCCCGAATCAGAGTCATGAGAAAAACAATAACAAAGCCTAACCTTAAGAAAATCACCAGCCAATCACAGCGGAGTTAAAGTGCGGAAATATGATTCACAGATATATGACTTGATTTTCTGAGAAACGGCCACAAAGAGATAACAGAATAACCTTCAGCAAGAAAACAACCAATCAGAAGAGGTTGCTTCTCTACTAACAATACCGCTAACAATAATGCACATAAAAATCTATAAAAACCTCTTGATTTTCTCAATAAAAGATTTGTTGCCTGGCCCTTATCTTCTGTCGTTACGATGTTAATTTGGTTTATGGTGGTTAGCGGTGAAATGCAAGATAATCATTTCGTCCTATTTGGTACTAGTTAGTCGGGTGCACTAGCATTCCTAGTGAATGGTGGGGTTTCCACTGACACTGTCATAAGGTTTGATGAAAAAGAAAGTGCTGATAATCCATAGGAAGTTTAGAGACAAATAATGGCACCGCATAAGCTGTTGTATAATGGATGCACTTGAAACAAGCACATATGATATGTGTATTGGTGATTACAATAAGAGGAGAAATCTCGGATCGCAGAAACATAAACCCCTGTTTCTACGACTTAATTCGACCAAAGAATGATTTCATTTGCTATCAATTATGATTATTACTGCCAATAAAATCACAAGAAAGGAAATAATGAAACTATACGAACGAAGTCTGGAAGTTATATGAGCAATTTGAAATGATTAAGAGAAATAAATTGTGTTGAAAATATCATCATTAAATGATACTGTACCACTATGCGGTTTCATCGGATAAAATTATTCTATGATGGCATTGTGCTCTATTACAATGGCCAAATTCTATTCTTATATATATGACCCATTTCTGTGTCGATCCATTTGAATCCTGTTGCGACAAAGATGGATTTTCAGTTCGAGGCATCACCCAACCTAATATTGTTGCCATTCTATCAAGCTTAGCATATCTTAGAGAGTTTTAGTACTAGTTAGTCTAATAATTTCTTTTACATTACTTGTTGGAGTATTGTTATTTATCAACTTCAGACTAATACGATGCGATACGTTATGCAAAGAATAATCATAATTAGTCACTGTATGAGGTGACACTCTTTATCTAGACTGACATGGATTCAACATAGAACTTGGCACCGAAGTGCAGCAGTTCGAGTTGCCACGTTCCATATAGCACACAAAGGTAGACAAGAAAATGAGTGAAGAGAATCAATAGAGTTTTGACAAGTATAAGAGTGAAACAGAATGAGTAATGGTAGAAAGGAGTATGAAGGTTAAAGAGACTGAACATGAAATTATTCCAGGTATTCAAAGCAAATTTCCGTGCATATCAAAGAGTCAGATGCAACGTAGAGGTTCAGAAGACTACTCAGGGTGAAAAGTACATAATCACTACAACAATTATATAAAAATATGTCCGTTTCAAAATATATTTCTACGGAAACTGATACCATCTGAAGAAATACTGGAGGACATAAAGATCACGGTACTGTTTCTAAAATCTTTTTGCACTTTGTTCAATAGCAGGATATCTCACTTTGTACATCAACACTCATCACGGAATTAAAACTAGTGCATCAGGCAATCTTCAAAAGAATATGAAGAACTGATAAAACGATGTTATAGTATTGTGTTGCTCAATTTGAACAAACTAGCGTACACGTATATCCTAGTACTTCTTCGCGTTTATTATTGTGTCCCAACGTTGTGATTACTCGACATCCACAGCGTAAATCAAAAGGCACCTGAGAAGGAGTATGAAGGTGTATTCTCACAGTAGTCAAAATTCAAAAGGTGAGCAATCTTTAGAGTGACAAACAAATTTAAGTCCACTTACATAGTGAAAGTATAATACGATGATGAATAATAAAATGGGTCACTACAATAGTGAATAAATATTTCTATGCATTTACTATTATTTTCCTCATAAAGCTATTAGAGAATGTTTATAATTTTAAACAGTGCATACAACAAGCGTTGAACTGTCGAACTACGAGTTCATTTATGAAGTTTAACACTAATTCGGCATGTAATCTAAATTACCATCCTGTATGAGGTTATGAGTTTTCCTTTCAAAACAGTCACCAAAACTGAATGTCAAATACTTCTTAACGTTCTTTTTAGCTTTCATTCGAGGTGAAAACTGTTTCTTTTTGAAAATTTTCTATTTGATTTTTGTTGTTTTAATCAGCTAATAAAATAAAATATTGAAATTCACTTATGATCTATTACAAACATGTAGTAGTTAAAAAAAAATATGCATGCATTTGACTATCTCTTATTCACTTTGTATTAAATAGGTCAACATGCACGATTTATTATCAAATGTGAATGCCGTATTCAGTGTTTACAATCGAATATTAACAATCGTCAATCACTACGAAAACGTTGTATTCGACGCTGTCGGAGACGTTATGGTCTAAATAACATACAGGATAAACAGAGAAAATGAATAAATTATTTTCTGTTCAAAAAGATGAAACCATTTAAACTCTACTTTTTGTGAAGAAATAGCAATAAAACTATCAGTAACCACGATAAGAACAAATTCTTTAACATTATACCTCTATTCTGTATACTGTTAGTTCAGAACCTTATAATTATTAATAAACCTGAGTTTTATTGACTATTCTACATTTTAATTCATCCAGACATCAGTGAAAAGAAGAAAAATCAAGTAGTTCAGAGAAGAGGCTCTTTTCTTAGAATTCATTTTCTTTAGCTGTACATTTTTATTGATATACAGTTCTTTTATGGTAAGCCACCGAAACGGTCCATTGTAGTCAGTTGCGAATACGTTTCAGTTATATATACAAGATATGTGGATGACATTCAGATGATTTTTTATTATAATAATTGTGACCTCAGTCATTTATTACAGGTATTTAACAACTGCCATCCAGTATTAACATCTACCCTTGAGACAAATGTACAATTTCACTTTTTGATGTCGAATACAAGAAGAACCGACAGAAACTTGAAAAGTTCTGTCCATGAGAGACACATTCAGAACGGTCAACTGACAAATTTCTACATTTAGAGGGTTCTTGAATGAAAAATTTCTTGCCATTCACATCCGACGAATCTACAGCTCTAACACTCTAGAAGAAGAATTAGACCTTCTGAAAGAAATCTCCACTCAAAATGGAAACCCATTCATTGACAAGAACATCAAATCAGGATTTCAGAAAAAAACATTACTTGTGACTGAAAAGAAACTTTACATGAACCGTGATTTCAAGGAAAACTTTGCCTGCAATACCCTTAAGGGAAGAACTTCGACATATTCGAGAAGATTCTTCGCAGAAACGGTAAGAGTAGAGTTCTCCAGTAGTCTACAGGTCTAAAGAAGCCTAAAAGACATGTCGTATCTAACCACTTCTATGTGAATGTATTAGTTCCCTTATTCCTGTTGAATCAGGTATATTGGACGTTCGAAGCATATCGTATCTAAAAGGGCTCAAGAACGCTATCTCTGCTCTGCTTATAAAAGTAAATTATTCAAGCACTTCTACTAACGTTAAAAAAGCCTCATTGTTTTCTACCAACTTGATGTTGTTCGCTTTTGACTCTTTCTAATTCTTGTATTTCTTTCGAACTCTTACATGATATCACAGTTTCCTTCGCTTCCATATGCATCCTGATTAAAAATGATTCACCTTATTACGTAACTCTAGTACCTTTGAACAAAGCAAAAACTACAGTTTTAGCAGAATAAAATGGTACCATCTTTTATTTCGTCGCCTTCTCATCAGCTGCTTACAGGGCAAAGACATTATTAAATGTATCTACAAAAACAATTTAACATACTTGCACAGAGTTCATTTTAAACAAAAATCAACCGATCAATATACGCATACACTAATTATATATATATATATGCAATATTAAACACAATTCCGAACAATAATGATCATACACAATGAAAACTTTTCAGTATCTCGCATTCGGATGAAAAATATCCAGTTACCAGGGCAAAGAAAGACTGATAACCGCTTCTTTCTGAACGCACAAATCAGGTTTTCGGCACTTGATGGAAATGGCTTCAGCAAACTTTGTTCAACTCTTTTTATTCACTGATTAATATCGACAACTATGACTATAACAACTCGTCACTTCTTTTTACTACTCTTTTTCGGGAAAATAATTGTCTATAAATGCGATTGTACAGCTAAAGAAAATAAATTTGCCAAAAGCAGCCTCTCCGTTAAACTACTGGTCATGTTCTACATTTTCTTATTTTTCCATCCCGTATAAAATTGTAGTGTGAACTACACATGGCTGTCAGTTTTATACCACACTACTTATTCAAACAAAATGATGCGTGTAAATCAATTACAATAACACAAAAAGATACTTTGAAACAGGGTCCTGAAAGTTAATACTCTGAAGGTAGAACTAATAGGTAGTGCGTTCGAGTCTCATTGGCACACAACCGTAGTACATTCAGATAATGAATCCTTTCAATACTGTTTCCAAGTGGTACTAAATGTATGTTATGCATTTCTAGGAGATGAAATGAACAGTGAGATGGGGACTTATGGTAACACAGTACAATTTTTGTGTCAATTACAAAGGCTTTCACACATTTGCAAACTTATACACTACTTAGGAAGATTAGACACAGGAGTAACACAGTGTGACCACACTATTCAATATTTTCTCCTAAAAGAGATTTTTGTGGACCACACAGTTTTTTAGTCCAAGTTGGTGGTGCCGTAAAGGAATAAATTATAACAAGAAATCCATCTTTTTTATACGGTTAAGACTATTTAGGTTTCAAAAGACGCTAACTACTTTTCTGCAACTGCTTATTAGAATCGTTTATCATCTCACGGAGTGCTAATGAGAACAATGCTAAGACTCACATTTTCTTTTCCAACTTTAGCCGCCATCCCGTTTTTCCATATTGGTTTGTTTATTAGATGCATCACACGGTGAAACATTATTATTTACTGGATGACGTTTCGAACAGAATTTATTGTTCATAATCATATCAATTGTGATCACACGACTTTGACACTTGAGTTTTATAGTTTTCTTTGTTCTCTCCTATTTTTCGTATGAGTAGTAGAATTTTCCAGATATCGGGGAGAGGTGATGAATCATTCCTATTACACGTATTTTCAGTTGACTCGATAGACAAAGCTTCCATTAACAATCTCTCCCTCCACCCTGTGACATTAGATCTTAAAACTGTCATCTAATCCCATCCTATTTTATGGTTGTGTGTAATTACATGTAGCGCTATAGCTGAACTATTCTCTAGATTTCTTATCTTGATCGGGTCAACTATTCTTTATTTTGCTAGGTTTTTATCCCCGGCTAGTCTGACTGCACCTGTTCTACTACTTTGAACTATGTATTTGACCTGACAATCATTGCAGGTAGGGTATTAGATAAACTAAATAGTTTTGTTTAAAAGGCTCCACAGGATCCTTTAACCGACAAAGCCTGTTTCTAATTGAATTTGTGGGTTTGAATGCCAGCCACTCTTATTCCTGCCTTGTTAAGAATTCTCCTTAAGGTTTCCGAGGTTCCTTCTTTGTATGGAATTACTACTGATTCCTTATTGTTGGTGTTGTCATTATTCTGTGCATGTTTGACAAGTATGTCCTCATTAATATCATAATTATTATCACTATCACTACTATCATTATTTATTATATTGTTTTTACATTTTCCTACATACTTTCTGACTAATTTACCAGGGAAGTTATTAAGTTTCAAGGCTTCTCTTATATGTCTCACTTCCTGTCTTAGATTTTCCTTGGTACTACTTAGTTTTTGTGCTCTATTTTACTTAAACATTTCACTAATACTATTTTTACTGACATAGGATGGGATGATCGGAAATCTAAATATCTGTTTGAATGTATGGGTCTTCTGTAAACACTAGTGCTTAACTTCCCATCTTCTTTCCTTTTTATGCTACAATCTAACATTGGAAGTTCCCCTTCCTAACTTTCCAATTCATAAGTGAATTGCCTCCTCCTTTGAGTTAATGTGTTCGAAAAATCTATCGAAATCTTGTGTTCTAAGTACAGTGAATGTGTCATCTACATACCCCCACCATACTTTCGGGGTGGGGCTGAACGTTTCGATCGCTAGGTTTTTCCCATCTATCCATGAAGATATCTGCCACAACCGGGGATTATGGTGACCCCATGGCAACACATTAACATACAGGAGAGGTCAGATTTTAGATCCTTTAATCATACGAAAACTAAGTGTGGATCAAAAAACAACCTCAAGCTAGGTTTCATAGCCAGATGATGGTGCATTCATCAAATTTTCACTCATCCACAGATTCTGAGGCACATACTTGCAAGGTTTTTCCACCTGAAAGTTGCATCCTACTCCAATCACCAAGAGCTATTGTAAGGATACTATACTGTAAAAAGGTGAGCTGGAGAAGTATTTTATATCAGTCGACGTTTTCTAATAGAACTCGTTTAAACGTGTAAGAAGTTGTGGAGAACTGGCATTTGAACAGACAAATAGGAGTAAAATCAATTAGAGATGCCAAATTTCATTAATAGTAATTAATTTTACTGAAACCCTAATTATCAAGACTCCAGACATTGATTTTCTACAAAGAAAAATTCTCATTATTTAGAGAGCGCAAGTGAAGACTCAGACAAACACTTTGAGTGCACTTCGTCCCCACCAAACGTCATATTGCTGAATGACCGATCCACATTCTACATATGAAAATAAAAAATAATATAATATGCTAAACACTTCATTTATTCAGAAAGTTACATCAGTTCCTGTGAACACTTCCCTAATGAAATCTATAAGCAATTATCAAAACATCATCTGCTATAATTCAGCTTGTGTAACCTTTTGGGTAGAAATATCTAGCAATCCATAACAGGGCATGAGCACAACACATTAGTGAGACGTACTCAGTGAGAGTATGTGTGATAAGAACAAATTACGCATGTTAGATACAGCAACATAATAAATGATAAAGTATGCAGTACTGTCAAAACAGTCCGTGAAATTACTACACAGCATTGATTCGGGTGTTTGCGACGCGTATTACAGATCTCGATTTAATTATTCTTCTTGCCGCAGCCATATTTGTCTTCCGTCGACTGGGTGCTTATAAGCAGGGTTGCAACGTGATACACTGGTGAACTAAGTTTCGCATTGGTCCATTAGTCAAACAAGTTGGCGGTGGTTACCTGCAACTGATATTACAATCAAACAATCGTTAGTTCTAACCTAAGAACTTATCCATCGAATTACATTTCGCGAAATTTTATGAATGTGGGTAAAGGAGTCTGCATGTGGGTTGAGTGGGAGTCTGAGTAATAGACAATGACTGTGTAAGTTCATACATTTAGTCACCTTGATAAATTTCGAAGGTACGATCGAAAAGTCCATCCATAGAAAAGAAACCTGGACTGGGCAATATCTTCACTATAACAGCTTTTGTCTCATAAGCTACAAACGTGGATTAGTGATGACTTTGTACGACAGAGCCAGGAAGCCCTGTTCACCGAACAAGAGTTAGGTTTCGTTGAGAAATGCCGAAGAAAAAATGAATACCCTAAGGGGTTTATACAAAAGTATAGAAGAGAAAAAGATAAGAAAGAAAACCACCCAACTGTAGAAAAGAAAGTGTTTATTTGTCTCCCATTCAAAGGAGATGCAGTATCATAAAAGATTGACAAAAGAATGAATGAAGAATAAAAAG